TTGCTAATGTTTTAACACTGGAACTGGAGTCCTGCAGCAAATGGTTAGTAGACACCAAACTATCATTACACCTAGGGAAAAACTGAAGCCATTCTCTTTGGCACGAAACATAAACTGAGAAGGGTAAATAACTTTAATGTTCAATGTAATGGGGAGCCCATCACTTTGGTTTCATCAGTAAAATATTTGGGAATCCCTTTGACCCATGCATGTCAGGAGAATTGATAGGGAACAGTGTAGTAAAGAAAGGGAATGCAGACTGAATTCTCCTGTTAGACAAGCACAGTGTCTACCTACTGAGGCTCGCAGGACCCTATGTCTAGCCCTTATACAATGCCATATGGATTACGCTTGCTCTTCATGGTACTCTGCCTTGACAAAAAAACTGAAAGATAGACTGCAAATCACCCAGAACAAAATCGTAAGATTCATCCTGGGGCTGGGACCAAGAGAACATGTAGGCCAGGATGAATTACAGCAGTTGGATATGCTGAATGTTGAAGACAGAGTAAAACAACTGAGCTAAATCATGTTTATAAAATTGCTCAAAACAGTGTCCAGAATATCTTGTTGTCAATTTTGTCAAGGTTGGGAACCAAAGCAATCATCGCACTAGGGGGAGAGAGCACAACTTTGTAGTACCCACAGTCATTGGCCAGGCTTCAAAACCTTTTATTGTACAGCAATAAGGAATGGAACAGACTACCCGCACATGTCAAAGCCAGTCATAGCATGATCCAGTTCAAGAAGAGTGCCAAAAGGTGTCTGATGAATGTAGCTACAGAAAGGGAGGGGAATGATTTTCTATTTTTTTATCTAACATACGTGTAAATTTTACCTTATTCCTAGTAATGACCCTCGTATTGTAGATAGTCTTAATGACCCTCGTGTAGTAGATAGTCTTTTTAGTATGATAATAAGATGTTATCTTCATTATAGAATAATAAGAAAATATTATAACCTTTATATTATAATAATAAGGTAAAAGGACCCCAATGGAAATAAGTCACTCTGTCTGACTTTTTTGGGTTATCCTAGGTTCTCTACACATATGCTGCTATGTATGATAATTCTATGTAACTATATTTGTGTATACCTGAATAAACTTACTTACCTACTTACTTACTAATCCATCCTGTCATTTTTCTAGCAGATGCGATTGATACAATGTTATGGTCCTTGAAGGTGAGATCCTCCTACATGATCACTCCCAGGTCTTTGACGTTGGTGTTTCGCTCTATTAAGTACCCTTACCTTCGGATTTCTAGTATCCTTATCATTGCCAATTATGGCCTATTTACAGCGGCCTCAAGGGTAATCAGGGTGAACTTCAGACGTTGCTCTCTCAATTTTCCCCTGTTGGTGTTTGCTTACAAGAAACAAAATTACACTCTGCTGTTATCTATCCCATCTTAGGCTATAATTTATTGTATTCTTCGGATCATTTTCCTGATGGGACCTTTAACGAAAGTGCCCTTCTTCTGCGCACTGATATTCCGTACCATCAGCTATTTGTTCGTACTTCGCTGCATTACACAGCAGCCCGTATCCACCTGCATAGGTGGTATACACTCTGTTCTTTGTACCTCTCTCCTTCTCGAGCATTATCTATTCTGGATATTGCCTTTCTTGTTTCGTCATTACCGCCACCACTTCTGTTACTTGGCGATTTTAATGCCCATCATTTTCTCTGGGGGGGGGGGGGGGTCTCACTGTGATTCCCATGGCATTCAGCTAGAGGCTTTTCTTGCTTCCCACCCCCTCCATGTTTTAAATACAGGTACTCACACCCATTTTGATCTCGTACTCATACTCTTTCTTGCATCGATCTCTCAGTCTGCTCTTCCTCCGCTGCACTAGACTTCACCTGGTCTGTTCTCCCGGATTTACATGACATCGATCATTTTCCAGTCATTCTTACTTCCCCTTCATATTCACCACCTCTTCGTAACCCACGCTGGCAATTTGATCAGGCAAATTGGGGCCTTTACTCACAACTAACTGGTTTTAGTGAGGTTCCTTCTTCGTCCTCCATTGATGAGCTTTTACACCTCTTCTCGTCCTCCGTTTTAACCGCAGCTTCTCATTCTATACCCCAAACCTCGGGCAGGCATTCTCAGAAATGCGTGCCTTGGTGGTCTCCTGCTTGTGCTCGTGCAGTACGTTTGAAACGTGCTGCCTGGGGCAGGTACCGGTATAATAGAACCACTGAGAGACTTCTTGATTTTAAGCAGAAGCGTGCGGTCGCTCGCTGTGTCATCCGTGACGCTAAACGCACTTGCTGGCGAGATTGTTTCCACCATCACCTTTGCTTCCTCTATTACCTGGAGAGAGTTCCGGGGGTCAACGCCCCCGCGGCCCGGTCTGTGACCAGGCCTCCTGGTGGATCAGAGCCTGATCAACCAGGCTGTTGCTGCTGGCTGCACGCAAACCAACGTACGAGCCACAGCCCGGCTGATCAGGAACTGACTTTAGGTGCTTGTCCAGTGCCAGCTTGAAGACTGCCAGGGGTCTGTTGGTATTCCCCCTTATGTGTGCTGGGAGGCAGTTGAACAGTCTCGGGCCCCTGACACTTATTGTATGGTCTCTTAACGTGCTAGTGACACCCCTGCTTTTCATTGGGGGGATGGTGCATCGTCTGCCAAGTCTTTTGCTTTCGTAGTGAGTGATTTTCGTGTGCAAGTTCGGTACTAGTCCCTCTAGGATTTTCCAGGTGTATATAATCATGTATCTCTCCCTCCTGCGTTCCAGGGAATACAGGTTTAGGAACCTCAAGCGCTCCCAGTAATTGAGGTGTTTTATCTCCGTTATGCGCGCCCTGAAAGTTCTCTGTACATTCTCTAGGTCGGCAATTTCACCTGCCTTGAAAGGTGCTGTTAGTGTGCAGCAATACTCCAGCCTAGATAGAACAAGTGACCTGAAGAGTGTCATCATGGGCTTGGCCTCCCTAGTTTTGAAGGTTCTCATTATCCATCCTGTCATTTTTCTAGCAGATGCGATTGATACAATGTTATGGTCCTTGAAGGTGAGATCCTCCAACATGATCACTCCCAGGTCTTTGACGTTGGTGTTTCGCTCTATTTTTGTGGCCAGAATTTGTTTTGTACTCTGATGAAGATTTAATTTCCTCATGTGTACCATATCTGAGTAATTGAAATTTCTCATCGTTGAACTTCATATTGTTTTCTGCAGCCCACTGAAAGATTTGGTTGATGTCCGCCTGGAGCCTTGCAGTGTCTGCAATGGAAGACACTGTCATGCAGATTCGGGTGTCATCTGCAAAGGAAGACACGGTGCTGTGGCTGACATCCTTGTCTATGTCAGATATGAGGATGAGGAACAAGATGGGAGCGAGTACTGTGCCTTGTGGAACAGAGCTTTTCACCGTAGCTGCCTCGGACTTTACTCTGTTGACTACTACTCTCTGTGTTCTGTTAGTGAGGAAATTATAGATCCATCGACCGACTTTTCCTGTTATTCCTTTAGCACGGTGTACATTATTATTATCTACAGTTGCCTCAATAATACTAATATTAGTGTACTAACAGTATAAACTAGCTACTTCTTCCCTGAAGGGTAAATCTATCAATTAAGAAGTACCTTCCAACCACCTTCGCCAACCTGGGCGAGTGTGTTTGTGTTTTGGATGGGTGTAAGGGCCCTCGAACGGTGTGCTTTTCCCCGTTGGGACTTCTCGGACCGAATAAGTTCCAACACTACTCCTGCACTATCACTTGCCCCGCTGTTTTCTGTAACCTACTAATCATCCCTTCCCCCTTCTGCCGCCAGATACCCTTGCTTCCTTCCCTACCCTGCAGCGCTGTGTAGCTCTTGTGGTTTAGCACTTCTTTTTGATAATAATAATAATACGTAATAATAATATGCAGTGGTTTGTAAATGCCAGTTTTGTAGGCCAACATTTTTCAGTCTAGATGTATTACATATACAGAGTACTTTTTTATATCAAGTATAAAACTATACCTACTGTATTGCTCTGTGAGGGAGGTACTTCTTATTGTCACCTCTACAAGGTAACTGTAATCTTGAAATTATTGTCTTTAATGGATTTAGTGCATCTGCAGTTATCTGAATTGTGATGCCAGCACATCTGCCAAGGCAGCTATTGACTAAATGATGGTGACTGCATTTCTTCTTTGATTCACTCTACCTTAGTGAGAGACAACTGTTGATTCCCTTCATGAGAGATGGCCTGGTGCTGGTGAAGTGCTCTCTTACCTTGGATTAAACCTGATACCCTCCCATTCACCAAGATGCTATATAACCCCTATGGGTTCAGTGTTCCCCAGTTGGTTGGGGGTTGTCATGCATACCTCATACCTGAAGAGTCGTATGACATTCGTAGGTTTAGTGCTTTGTTTTGATTATAATAGACCTATGGAAAACATGTTGTTGATTCAGGTAGAAAGTATGGAGTCTGGCAATATCAGGCATTAATCAAGAGTGGCAAATCAGCCTGATCTAATAGGGAAGTTATCGTTCCAGTTCATCTTTCCAGAGAAAATGCATTTATTTCATAATTCCCGCCTACATTTGAGAAACATTTTACCTGGATAAAAAGGCATAGGCTTTAATGGGCCTTAACAAGCCCCACCAACAACTGAAAGGAGAAGTGGTAAAATTCCCTTAGTAAGTTTATTTAGGCACAGGTACACATAAGTACAATTATCATTATATAGTGTAAATTACCCAGAATAACCCAAAAAAGTCAGACAAAGTGACGTTTCCATTGGGGTCCTTACGGCGTCAAGTGTCAGTGACCCTATAAACTAGACCAGAACACTAATATAAAAATAAATAAGTTTATTTAGGTACAGGTATACAAAAATGCATTTACATAAAGTATCATACATAGTAACATGTGTAAATTACCTAGAATAATCCAAAAATAGTCAGAAAAAGGTGACTTATTGTCAATGGGTCCTTTACGGCGTCAGTTGTCAGTGGCCCTATAAACCCCCAACAACAATATAAAAGTCTCATAATTATTTTCTTGGATGGTTGTCTTGTCTGGCCAGGTGGCCATAGTGGTCACACAGCTGGTGTAGTCTGGCCAGCTGTGTCTACCCAGCTTTAGGAAGCTGCAAATAGTCATTTTCACTTTCGGGGGCTATGTCCCTTGTGGGTTTAACGCTTAGTTATGGTGATAATAGTAATTCCTTAGAGTAAGTTTATATTTAGGTTTTGGGTACATAAAATTAATATTTTTTTATACATGATCTTCAGGGGACACATTATAAAAGCTGTCATTATATAGATATTGTAATATACTCGTAACTGAGTGCTAAACCCATAAGGGTCATCAAGCACTGTTATATATGTTAATTTAGCCTAGAATAGTCTGACTTGTCTCATATTTTCTTTTTATTTATATGTAGATAATGATGAGTACACCGACTTCAATACGTGAAGCTCATGAGGCTTTTGTGAGTGGCCACAGCGGATCATCCGCTCCTGACCTCATCCTGGCCGTCTATCCTGCTATACCTGCTTCGCTGCTCGCTGTTGTAATTGTCCAGGGACGGACGGGATGGTAAAATCATTCTTACGTGTATTCCCATAAAATAAATATATGGTCCTTGGGGGCTGGGTTGGTAGTGTCCTCAGTTCACACACTGAGGGTCCTGGGATCAGTCCCAGCACGGTGAAACGTTGGGTGTGTTTCCTTATACCTGCCGTCCCAGTTCACCTAGCAGTAAGTAGGTACCTGGGTGTTAGTGGACTGGTGTGGGTCATATCCTGGCGCAGAAGATTAATCAAAATTACTAGAAATGCTCTGCACATCCAGGGGTTTCTATATAGTATCCCGATGATGTCAGGTCTGTAGTAAAAAAAAAATATATGCTTAATCTGAATATTAAGCAGTTTATGTTTGAAACAAATCCCACCTTATGTGGATGACTGTGTTGAAATGATGCATTTCTGCATTAAATGGGTATCTTAGCAGTATCTTAGTATCTTAGCCTTTAGTTGGTATAAGGACAAGTGCAACTAATGCAACATTTTATTGCAGCAATGTTTCACTCTCCAGGAGCTTTGTCAAGTTTGACAAAGCTCCTGGAGAGTGAAACTTTGCCACAATAAAATGTCATATTAGTTACATGTGTCACTTTACCTCACATATTGTTGGTAATTCTATCTTTATTACTAAGATGTCTTTGTTCGACATAATATTTTTGCTGGGAATGTACATTTTCCATTCAGGTTGTGGTTCCTTCTGGAGAGCATTTTCCTTGTTGTTCCGCTGACCCTGAGTTTCACCATCTGCTCAGACTACGCCCTGGAACTGTGCACAGTGCTTACCATCCTTACAGCTCTGGCTCTCTGCCTCGCTACACCCACAGGCACAAATGTGTGTAGCCCCTCCAAGAAAGCAAGGAAGGTATATGTAGACTGTATACACAGCCCCTCTTCACTTAACAATGGAGTTCTGTCCCTAGGACCACATCGGTAAACGAATTTGTTGCTAAGTGAGGAGCATACTATAATGGTAATGGGTTTGTGTCAGCCATCTTTCATATTGTTTTAATGTTACCTTTGCACCATTTATGACATTTCTGGTATGTTTTTAAATGTTTATGCAGTAGTATACTGTATATTGTAATAAACAGAAAAGAGGAAATCAGCTCTAATATAGTATATTATTTAGGTATGCATACTGGTCAGAGAGCCCATCCTAAGTCTGAGTCATTGACTGGTTTTGTTAATATTAACTAGGTTTATTAATATTGGCTGAGTTTATTAATATTGGTTGGGTTTATTAATATTGACTGGATTTATTAATATTGACTGCATTTATTAATATTGGCTATGTTTATTAATATTGGCTAGGTTTATTAATATTGACTGGGTTTATTAATATTGACTGGGTTTATGAATATTGCCTGGGTTTATTAATATTGCAAATATGTTGTATTACAGCACCTGGGATGTGTGACCTCTCTGAGAGCGCTCTTAAACCTGGCCACCTCAATTGCTATTCTCGGTGTTGATTTTCACTCCTTTCCACGTCGGTACGTAGTACAATATATTATTACATTCATGAGGTGGGGAGAGCACTAAACCCATAGGGGGTCATATAGCACCAGGGGGAAGGGGAGGCAGGTAAGTTTAATCCAAGGAAGAGAAGGTCAGGCCCAGTTCCCTAGAGCAAGAGCCCCTTATCAGTAGGAACTGTACAGTGCCTTGGGAATAAGAGGTAATTATGTTTGAACTGAGTAAAGGAAGGGTAGCTCCATTTCCTTGGATCCAGTGCCTTTCAACATCAAAATTTAGGTTATGCCTAGCATTCACAAAACAGGTATCCTTTTATGTCCAGTGTATTACTGTCAATGTAATCAGTGCATATAAATAAATTACGATTCTTAGGACTCAATTAAGCCAGTCTTTCTTAACCCTTTCAGGGTTTTGGCCATACTAGTACGGCTTACGCACCAGGGTTTTTGATGTACTAGTACGCCTAAATTCTAGAGCCTTCAAATCTAGAGCCCTCAAATCTAGTGAGAGAAAGCTGGTAGGCCTACACATGAAAGAATGGGTCTATGTTGTCAGTGTGCGCAGTATAAAAAAAAATCGTGCAGCACACAGTGCGTAATGAGAAAAAAAAACTTTGACCGTGTTTTTTGGATTAAAACCGACTTTGCACTGTATTTTCGTATGGTATTTATTGTTGTATTTTAGTTTTCCTGGTCTCATTTTATAGAATGGAAGACATATTACAGAAACTGAGATGATTTTGACTGGTTTTACAATGAAAAGTACCTTGAAATTGAGCTCAAAGCAGCAGAAATGTTCAATTTTTACCAAAGTTCAAAAGTAAACAAATCATGCTAAGCGTCTAATACACGTCAACTGGTGAGTCTAATATTCTTTCACAAGTGCGCGATATTATTTATACCATTTTTACACTAATGCAGTAGCCTGCATAACAGTAAATCTTCTATTTTTTGTGAGAATAAAAATTCAAAGTGGAAAGCAAAAGAATGTAAGAGGTGGGTGAGGACGTGACTAATGAACAGAGGAAATGTTATTTTAGTCCCAGAAATGTCTTTCTTGTTTATTCTGGACCCTATTTGGAAATTGACATCTTTTGAAATTTGTGTGAAATTGGCAAAATTGCTAAACTCTGATCACTGTATTGGATAGTTGAAATAGGTAAATGGGTGGTTTCTTGTACTCATTCGATAGAAAAAAATGGAGTTCTAGTGAAACAGTCATGATTTTTGTCGAGTAGTACACTGGAATTGGCCAAAAATAGGGCTCAAAGCGGGCAAAATCGCCAATGCATAGACATTGTTGAGACCGCTAACTTTGCGAGAGCATAATTCCGTAAGTTTTCCATCAAATTTCATACTTTTGGTGTCATTATGATCGGGAAAAGATTCTCTATCTTTTCATGAGAAAAAATAATTTTTTTTTTTAAATTTGGGCGACCCTGAGAACAAGTCTGGGAGAGGGCCTGGGGACCCTGAAAGAGTTAATGAGCTTTCACGGTGTTTAACAATCTATATCATTGGACTGACATACAGTATCTATTTTTTATTCATCTTATTATATTTATAATAAGTTTGATTTCAGTACTGTGTGACCCTTGCAGGTTTAGTGCTTAATTTGATGATGATAGTAATTATAACAATAATAAGGGTGATTATTTCAAATTATAGCTGTTGGTAATTATTTGCTGTAGGTTTGCCAAGACTGAAGAGTATGGTTACAGTCTGATGGACGTTGGTGCTGCTGGATTTGTCACTATGAACGGTATTGTTGAGGGGAAGAAACGAGCATCATACAGGTGAGAGACTAGCTCTGGTTGGTCCTAGGTCTAGTTGAAATAATGTTGCAAAGCCTGGCAAAGTGTAAATATAACTAATATAAAATCTGTTGGGTAATTTTTATATTTTACATTATTTTTTGTATGGTAATCATCTCTCTTATATCACCTAAAACTGCATAATTCCATACATTTCTCACGTTTTTTGTAACTATGATGCTGTAGTAGATCTCTTGAATGGGCTTGAGACTTTAAGAGTCTATCACTGTACAAGATATAACATTTACTCACCTATGTACTCCCACATCTTAACTGAAACAATCACATTGAACCTTTTATCCATTGTTAACAGGAATATAATTGAATCATTGTTTTTCACAAAAGTATTTTAGAATATAAATACGTATATCTTTGTATTATACAAATTTTGATTCATTTATAATTAATATTCTACTGTACAACTATGAAATAATTACTTTCCTACTGTACAACTATGATATACTACTCCTTAGTATTAAGTAGAATGTAAGCCAATAATGTTAAGTTGGCCCATAATGCCAAGGCATAATAGAGGCTCTCTTTGCATTGCAACCCACTATTGTATATACACAATCTCAATGTTCTGTTTGCAAAGACATTAAATAAAGTAGTCATATAGGTTAAGACTGTTACATAAACAATTCCACAATTATAAGTGTAGCACAATATAATGTCAAATTATTTTTTGTATTATAACATGTATATACAGTAAGTCCTCAACTCACTGTACAAACACATTGGGGATGTCCTGTATTGTGTATAATAATGATGTTATACACAATGTTGATATAATAATGATATACACAATACAGAAGATTCTCAACGTGTTTGTAAGTCAAGGACTGTAATTAATATTCACGTTCATGTATATTATTACTGCTGATAGTCTTTAATATATGGCTTAAGGTTTGTTGCTAGAGATACAGTGATCCTTACTGTGCTGGGAGTGTTGAGGCTGGTGCTGGCCCGAGCATCCAACTACCAGCACCATGTAACAGAGTACGGCCTACACGGCAACTTCTTCTTTACACTGGCATTAATCAAGGTAAACATTTATGGCAATCATCAAGGTAAGTGTTCATAGAATATTATGTTTGTGACTTATGATACTCTTGTATATCTGCAAGATTGTTTTGTAATGTACTTATGAAGATTTGATGCCATTAAATAAATTGTTTATATTTCATATTGTCTCTTTACTTAATTTGGGGTGGCTCACAAAAATTTTAAGTTTGAATATGGGAATTCTCATTTTCTCTTGGGGAAAATAAAGTCAAGAGTGACCAGTATTGTCCTTTGGGCAGCAGTAGTGCAACAAGTAGATTATAATAATGAAGGTGAGACAGTGCCTGTACTCTGAAGGAAGGGTGGAATTATGTTGCAGTTTTTTTAACCATAGTATCAGCATGCCTCTTGCAAGACAGTGATTGAACAAGTGATAATGGATGTGTTTCTTCTTTTTCGGGTCACCCTGACTCAGTGGGAAACGACTGTTAAAAATAATAATAATAATAACACATGCAATTAGAAATAATAATACAATACAACAATGATAATATAAAATAATAAATGGGAATTCCCATTCTGTAAGGGTGAAAATTAGGTGGTGTTTGGGCATCTGTGAATGAAGTTCACTCATCACAAAACTACACAAATAATTTTAGCCAGAAAAGGAACACAGTGAAGAGAAGAGGTGAGAGAAATTCAGAAATCAATATTTTTTATCCCTTATTAATATACCACCTTACTATATAAGCTTTAACCCTTTGGGGGTTTCGGATGTACTAGTACGTCTTACGACCCAGGGTTTTTGACGTACTAGTACGCGTAAATTCTAGCGCCCTCAAATCTAGTGAGAAAGCTGGTAGGCCTACATTTGAAAGAATGGGTCTGTGTGGTCAGTGTGCGCAGTATAAAAAAAATCCTGCAGCACACAATGCGTAATGAGAAAAAAAAACTTTGACCGTGTTTTTGGATTAAAACAGCGACTTTGCACTGTATTTTCGTATTGTATTTATTGTTGTATTCTAGTTTTCTTGGTCTCAATTTATAGAATGGAAGACATATTACAGAAATTGAGATGATTTTGACTGATTTTACAATGAAAAGTACCTTGAAATTGAGCTCAAAGTAGCAGAAATGTTCGATTTTTACCAAAGTTCAAAAGTAAACAAATCATGCCAAGCATCCAATACACGTCAACTGGTGAGTCTAATATTCTTTCACAAGTGCGCTGATATTATTTATATAATTTCTACACTAATGCAGTAGTCTGCATAACAGTAAATCTTATTTTTTTTGTAAGAATAAAAATTCAATGTGGAAAGCCGAAGAAATATAAGAGGGGCCTGGGGATGTGACTAATGAACAGAGAACTTGTTATTTTAGTGCCAGGAATGTCTTTCTTGTTTATTCTGGACCCTATTCAGAAATTGGCATCTTTTGAAATTTGTGTGAAATTAGCAAAATTGCTAAATTCTGACCACTATATTGGATAGGTGAAATCGGTAAATGGGTGGTTTCTTGTACTCATTCGATAGAAAAAATGGAGTTCTAGCGAAATAGTTACGATTTTTGTCGATTAGTACACTGGAATTGGCCGAAAATAGGGCTCAAAGTGGGCAAAATCGCCGATGCGTAAACATCGTCGAGACCGCTAACTTCGCAAGAGCGTAATTCCGTAAGTTTTCCATAAAATTTCATACTTTTGGTGTCATTTTGATCGAGAAAAGATTCTCTATCTTTTCATAAGAATTTTTTTTTTTTTTTTTTTTTTTTTTTTAAATTTGGCCAACCCAGAGAACAAGTTTCTGAGAGGACCTGTCGACCCTCAAAGGGTTAAGAAAGCATAAGGAATGTCGTCATTTGATTGTGATGGTCCTCAGAACAAGTCATAGGTAACTTGCTTTGGCATAAGCGCTAAATCACCGGGGTCGTATAGAGCTGCTTTAAGGTGACCAATGGTTTGGTTAGCAAACAGTAAAAAAAAAATAGGCATAACTTCAAATATGGGTTTGTTTTGTAATGTGTTGGTCACCATCGTGTGGACTCCAACTTGTATTTGATACTCTTAGTAACTATGTAGTTTATGTGCTAAATATCTCTAGTATAGAGTTTTAATTATTATTATAATCATAAATAAGTGTTAAACCCACAAGGGTCAGCCATTTGAAAATTTGGCTTCACCTGTTGAGGTAAGTAAGTTTACTCAGCTACAGGTACACATAAACACAGTTACATAAATTATCATACATAGCAGCATATGTGTAGATTACCCAGGATAACCCAAAATAGTCAGACAAAGTGACTTATTTCCATTGTGGTTGGCCATTAAAATATTGAAAGTAACTGTTTACCACACTGTACAATACCATTAAACAACTTACTAGTCTTTTTTTTAACATCATCACATTTACTTGTCATGAAAAGTACTTTAAGATACAATATACTGTCCCTATCAGTATCTAAATAAATTTCACCTATATATCTGTCATTGGAAATACATACTAATTTCAATATGCATTTGAATGTGACCCTACCTCAGTGGGAGATGGCTAGAGTTGCTAAAATATATACGAATGTCCAGAAAAAAAAAAAACAATGGATTGCAGTGGTGGTGGTATGATTTTGTGAATAATGAATTTTGTTCATATTTTTTTTATATATATTAAGGATATGCCTCTGAGTTTTATCTTATCTTTTTCCCAGCTAACATGCTCATGGTGGATTTGGCATCTTAACTCTCTGGGAAGTGTCATGGTGGCATTACTTCTAAGTTTTTGTCACCACTTGTTTCTCACAGTTGGCAATGGAGGCCCATGGACACTGAGCAATATTGGCAGAGATACATTAATACTTGCCAATAGGGAATGGCTGGTGTCTGTCCCAGGTTATACGATCCTGTACTTCCTCGGTGCTGCTCTGGGATCTTTTCTCTTTAGCAGGTAACAAAATTTATTCTGAAACACCACAATATGTAACATTATTGTATCTTATAGAGCATGGATAGGCAACCTATTGTAGCTGCTAGAGCATGGGTAGGCAACCTGTTGTAGGTGCTAGAGCATGGGTAGGCAACCTGTTGTAGGTGCTAGAGTATGGGTAGGCAACCTGTTGAGGTGCTAGAGCATGGGTAGGCAACCTGTTGTAGGTGCTAGAGCATGGGTAGGCAACCTGTTGTAGGTGCTAGAGCATGGGTAGGCAACCTGTTGTAGGTGCTAGAGCATGGGTAGGCAACCTGTTGTAGGTGCTAGAGCATGGGTAGGCAACCTGTTGTAGGTGCTAGAGTATGGGTAGGCAACCTGTTGTAGGTGCTAGAGCATGGGTAGGCAACCTGTTGTAGGTGCTAGAGTATGGGTAGGCAACCTGTTGTAGGTGCTAGAGCATGGGTAGGCAACCTGTTGTAGGTGCTAGAGCATGGGTAGGCAACCTGTTGTAGGCTAGAGCATGGGTAGGCAACCTGTTGTAGGTGCTAGAGCATGGGTAGGCAACCTGTTGTAGGTGCTAGAGCATGGGTAGGCAACCTGTTGTAACTGCTAGAGCATGGGTAGGCAACCTGTTGTAACTGCTAGAGCATGGGTAGGCAACCTGTTGTAGGTGCTAGAGCATGGGTAGGCAACCTGTTGTAACTACTAGAGCATGGGTAGGCAACCTGTTGTAACTGCTAGAGCATGGGTAGGCAACCTGTTGTAGGTGCTAGAGCATGGGTAGGCAACCTGTTGTAGGTGCTAGAGCATGGGTAGGCAACCTGTTGTAGGTGCTAGAGCATGGGTAGGCAATCTGTTGTAACTGCTAGAGCATGGGTAGGCAACCTGTTGTAACTGCTAGAGCATGGGTAGGCAACCTGTTGTAACTGCTAGAGCATGGGTAGGCAACCTGTTGTAGGTGCTAGAGCATGGGTAGGCAACCTGTTGTAGGTGCTAGAGCATGGGTAGGCAACCTGTTGTAGGTGCTAGAGCATGGGTAGGCAACCTGTTGTAACTGCTAGAGCATGGGTAGGCAACCTATTGTAGCTGCTAGAGCATGGGTAGGCAACCTGTTGTAATGCTAGAGCATGGTAGGCAACCTGTTGTAGCGCTAGAGCATGGGTAGGCAACCTGTTGTAACTGCTAGAGCATGGGTAGGCAACCTGTTGTAACTGCTAGAGCATGGGTAGGCAACCTGTTGTAACTGCTAGAGCATGGGTAAGCAACCTGTTGTAACTGCTAGAGCATGGGTAGGCAACCTGTTGTAGGTGCTAGAGCATGGGTAGGCAACCTGTTGTAGGTGCTAGAGCATGGGTAGGCAACCTGTTGTAGGTGCTAGAGCATGGGTAGGCAACTGTTGTAGGTGCTAAAGCATGGGTAGGCAACCTGTTGTAGGTGCTAGAGCATGGGTAGGCAACCTGTTGTAACTGCTAGAGCATGGGTAGGCAACCTGTTGTAGGTGCTAGAGCATGGGTAGGCAACCTGTTGTAGGTGCTAGAGCATGGGTAGGCAACCTGTTGTAGGTGCTAGAGTATGGGTAGGCAACCTGTTGTAGGTAGCTAGAGCATGGGTAGGCAACCTGTTCGTAGGTGCTAGAGCATGGGTAGGCAACTGTTGTAGGTGCTAGAGCATGGGTAGGCAACCTGTTGTAGGTGCTAGAGTATGGGTAGGCAACCTGTTGTAGGTGCTAGAGCATGGGTAGGCAACCTGTTGTAGGTGCTAGAGCATGGGTAGGCAACCTGTTGTAGGTGCTAGAGCATGGGTAGGCAACCTTTCGTAGGTGCTAGAGCATGGGTAGGCAACCTGTTGTAGGTGCTAGAGCATGGGTAGGCAACCTGTTGTAGGTGCTAGAGTATGGGTAGGCAACCTGTTGTAGTGTGCTAGAGCATGGGTAGGCAACCTGTCGTATGTGGAGCATGGTAGCAACCTGTTGTAGGTGTAGAGCATGGGTAGGCAACCTGTTGTAGGTGCTAGAGCATGGGTAGGCAACTGTCGTAGTGCTTAGAGCATGGGTAGGCAACTGTTGTAGGTGCTAGAGCATGGGTAGGCAACCTGTTGTAACTGCTAGAGCATGGGTAGGCAACCTATTGTAGCTGCTAGAGCATGGGTAGGCAACCTGTTGTAACTGCTAGAGCATGGGTAGGCAACCTATTGTAGCTGCTAGAGCATGGGTAGGCAACCTGTTGTATCTACTACAGCATGGGTAGGCAACCTGTTGTATCTACTACAGCATGGGTAGGCAACTTGTTGTATCTACTACAGCATGGGTAGGCAACCTGTTGTAATCTCTAGAGCATGGGTAGGCAACCTGTTGTAACTGCTAAGCATGGGTAGGCAACTGTTGTAGGTGCTAGAGCATGGGTAGGCAACCTGTTGTAGGTGCTAGAGCATGGGTAGGCAACCTGTTGTAGGTGCTAGAGCATGGGTAGGCAACCTGTTGTAGGTGCTAGAGCATGGGTAGGCAACCTGTTGTAACTGCTAGAGCATGGGTAGGCAACTGTTGTAGGTGCTAAGCATGGGTAGGCAACCTGTTGTAGGTCTTAAGCATGGGTAGGCAACCTGTTGTAGTCTAGAGTATGGGTAGGCAACTGTTGTAGGTGCTAGAGCATGGGTAGGCAACCTGTCGTAGTGCTAGAGCATGGGTAGGCAACTGTTGTAGGTGCTAGAGCATGGGTAGGCAACCTGTTGTAGTGCTAGAGTATGGGTAGGCAACTGTTGTAGTCTAAAAGCATGGGTAGGCAACTTTTTGTAGGTGCTAGAGCATGGGTAGGCAACTGTCGTAGTGCTAGAGATGGTAGGCAACCTGTTGTAGGTCTAGAGCATGGGTAGGCAACTGTTGTAGGTGCTAAGTATGGGTAGGCAACCTGTTGTAGTGCCCAAGCATGGGTAGGCAACTGTTAGGTGCTAGAGCATGGGTAGGCAACCTTTTTGTATGGTGCTAGCATGGGTAGGCAACCTGTTGTAGGTGCTAAGTATGGGTAGGCAACTGTTGTAGTGCTAGAGCATGGGTAGGCAACCTGTTGTAGGTCTAGAGCATGGGTAGGCAGCCTATTGTAGGTGCTAGAGCATGGGTAGGCAACCTTTTCGTAGTGCTAGAGCATGGGTAGGCAACTTGTTGTAACTGCCAGAGCATGGGTAAGCAACCTGTTGTAGTGCTAGAGTATGGGTAGGCAACTGTTGTAGGTGCTAGAGCATGGGTAGGCAACCTGTTGTAGGTGCTAGAGCATGGGTAGCACTGTTGTAGTGCTAAATGTAGCAAGTTGTAATGCTGAGATGGTAAAGCAACCTGTTTAACTGCTAAGATGGTAGGCAACTGTTGTAACTGCTAGAGCTGGTAACAACCTGTTGTAATGTAGAGCAATGGGTAGCAACCTGTTGTAACTGCTAGACATGGGTAGGCAACTGTTGTAGTGCTAGAGCATGGGTAGGCAACCTGTTGTAACTGCTAGAATGGTAGCAATCCGTTGTTAAATGCTAGAGCATGGGTAGGCACCTTTGTAACTTAGAGATGGGTAGGAACCTGTTTAGGTGCTAGAGCATGGTAACACCTTGTAGGTGCTAGAGTATGGGTAGGCAACTGTTGTAGTGCTGAGATGGTAGGCAACCTTTTAGTGTAAGTTATGGGTAGCAACCTGTTGTAAACTGCTAAGCATGGGTAAGGCAACCTGTTGTAGGTGCTAGCACATGGGTAGGCAACTGTTGTAGGTGCTAGGCATGGGTAGGCAATGTTGTAGGTGTAGGAGCATGGGTAGGCAACCTGTTGTAGGTGCTGAGCACATGGGTAGGAAACCGTGAGGTGCTAGTGCATGGTAGGCAACTGTTGTAGGTGCTAGATGGGTAGGCAACCTGTTGTAATGCCAGAGCAAAGGGTAGCAACCTATTGTAGGTGCTAGAGCATGGGTAGGCACCAGTTGTGGTGCTGAGCATGGGTAGCAACAGTGTGTAGTGCTAGAGCATGGGTAGGCAACTTGTTGTCTACACAGCATGGGAAGGCAACTTGTTGTATCTACTACAGCATGGGTAGGCAACTTGTTGTATCTACTACAGCATGGGTAGGCAACTTGTTGTATCTACTACAGCATGGGTAGGCAACTTGTTGTATCTACTACAGCATGGGTAGTCAACTTGTTGTATCTACATACAGCATGGGTAGGAACTGTTGTAATCTACTACAGCACGGTAGGCAACTGTGTGATCTACTACGCATCGGTAGGGAACTTGTTGTATCTACACAGCATGGGTAGGCAACTTGTGTATCTACTACAGAAGGGTAGGCAACCACTTTTAAATGTAGACATAGATGTAGGCAAAGTGAAAGTGAATTTAAAATATGCAAAGAAATTGGGTTGTTCAGTTAGTTAGTATAATAAAAAAGAAGCACCAAACCTACAAGGGTGTAGGCTGCTCAATTGAATATTTAAAATGTAGAATAAATCCAATTTTACCATATTATTTCCTGTCCCACATTTCTATTTTATTCTAAAATTGCTTATTAAACTATTACCTAGCTGTTTTTCACTTAACTAGTGAATTATTATTATTATTATTATAATAAACAAGAAGCGCTAAGCCACAAGGGCTATACAGCGCTGCAGGGCAGGAAGGAAGCGAGGGCATCAGGTGGCAAAAGGGAGGTGGATGAGTAATAGGTTATGGATAACAGCGGAGCAGTGGATGGTGAAAGGGTAAAGGGCAGCAAGAGACTGAGCTAGAAAGGGCTGAGGGGAGTGCGTAAGGTATCATCATCAGAGTTTGTGGAGTAAATCAGTCGTTGTCAAGAAGTAAATGAGAGAGTCAGGATTAAAGGAGGGTCCATCAGCAAGAAGGGAAGGTAAAGAGAGAGTAATAGAACGAAGATGGCGTTGGAGGTAAATTCTGCGTGCTAGTTGATAGAGAGGGCAGTCTAACAGAATGTGGCTAATCAATACTGGAACTTGACACTGCTCACAGAGAGGTACAGGGTGCCTCTCCATGAGATA